ACATTTCCATTCTGATAAGAGGGGTCTGTGCTAGGATGACACAGTGCTCATTCATAGGATAAGAGGGGGAGTAACAGAAGGGTTTGATGAGTTGGAAAATGATGTGAATCATATGCCGTGGTCTTCACCCTTATCAGGTCTCAGCTCAGTGAAAAGCTTTAAGGGTGATTTCGGACAGACATGTTAGACAGCCCTCTCTCCCTCACCTTCATAGAAACACCAGTGATTTATAAAAATGGTATTCTATTCCTCCTGTGAAGCTCTACCTAAACTGTGGTGGTGGCATGTGGTGAGCTAACACATCGATTAGACATTTGATTTTTCCTTCAATTTGCCACATGTCTACAAATATTAGGCTGTTAGAACCACTATTCTCACCTAAGATAGTCAAGTATCCATACTATACCAAGACAGTTTTGGGGTCCAGTGGTTACAAATAAAGATGCTAAATGGCCTGTGTATAATAACCTGACTGGGCAGTGGCACTGTCTGCTACACTGCAGCACCTACTATGACTAACTAAGGAGACTTCCTCATGCCTACTTTATTTTCATTAACCAATAATGAAATAACTTTAATGTTGACTCACAGATAATATGTAATATGACTCATAATTGGACATTAAATGTTACTTGGTTTTAGCTTCAGTACTTGCACAATAAAATTGTGTCTTAAATAGGCTCAAATATATCATCAAGCCTTTGGGTTATAACCCAAGTGCTATGTGCTTTTGTTTACAAATGCTCTTGCTCTCTACAAATAGCTTTGGCAGTTGTTTATGTTGCTACGTGATACCTTTGACAACTGATTTTGCACTCCATATAATCCTTACATGATTGTCAGCTTATTAAATTAAATCGTTTATTATATATTGTGCATGGCATATGCTACTTATGAAATTGCCCACCTTTGCAATCAATTACCTGCGAATAGAAGAAGCTTGCCTCCCAGGTTTTTGCCAGACAGTTTAAACAATAACATTTTTAAATGATCATGCTCTAAAGTTAAACTAGTCATGCAGCAGTTTTGTCTCTTATTCTTACGAAACTGCGACTGAAACTGAACACCTTAGGCAGCGCATCACCTTCATGAAGTGCACCCAACAGGGCAGGCGGGCTAATGTCAGGATCACTGCTCTGTGTGCAGTTCAGTTTAATGGAATCAAAATTTAATTAACGCTGCCTATTTAAAATATTTTGAGCAAAAATTGAGCATACAATATATAATTCATGAAGGCACTACTCACACAGTCTAACTGCATGAAAATTCATGCAGTCTAACTTCATTAGGGTGCATTAATTTTAGTTTCTATAAAGGTATTGAATAGAGTGGCGGATGAGTACAAATTTGATTTTCAAATTATTCTGAGCTGCTGTACCATTAGTTATTCTACAGGGTACAGAGCATTTAGTTATTTGTGACGATCTATCATGGCACATTACCACAACGGGCACAAATTGACCATAGTTCTCAACTATAGTTGCACTGAGTAAATTACCATGCCATTATTGAAAGTAATATGGCAGATAGAAGTTACAGATGGCTGTCACATTATAAAGTCAGAGCGCAGTACCAGAAGTAAGTCTGCCTGAGTCTAGTTGCCGTGGGGGGGATTTGTGGGCATCCATCAGCACTAACTGGAAGTGACAGTGTGCAGAGAGGTCCTAATTACTGTCTCACTTGACTAATTGTCGCCTCTGAAGAATGTATTCCCCACTGAGATTCCACCTCATTGACAATACTGCTCAAGACATATAGACCAGGGCTGGCTTCCCCGCGCTCAAAGAAAGTGGCCACAAATGGGAAATGTAAACACAGTACACTGCGAACTCAGTGCTACTGTCGCTGACAAAAAAAAGAACAGGTTCAAATCATCTTTGTGAGTTCCAATGAAGAAAGAATGTGTTCCTTGTAGGGGCCCTTGTGTGGCTCGCCAAAGTGTTAGTTACAGTCATCACGGAACAATGTGCTGATGAATTGAGACCATTGTTGCCTTTCTGGAGCCAACCATGTTAAAATAACTTGGGGTATTCAAAATAACGCAGTAGAGATGAGTCTTTAGTGCTGGGCTACTAAACTGAATGAATGTCTTCTCTTTCAAGGTCTTACCATTCAAAGTGCATCAGCTTCTCGTTTCCATGGTTTCCCCTCTCTGCGCCAATGCTATCTTTCCACCACTATGCCTGCGCGGGAGAGAGCGAGAGGGGGAGAGAGAAAGCGAGGGAGAGAGAGAGAGAGAAAGAGAGAGAGAATGACAGAGGGCTTTCAGCAGTGGTTATCTCTCCTTTGCATAAAGTCCCCTTTGCATTACTCAGTGCATGAATGGCGTTTGAATAAACACACCAGCCAGCTCATATGGAACCCTCCACGGGTTACAAGCGAGTGGGTGTGTATAAACTCATCTAATTTGTGGTCTTCTTCAAAAATGACAAGGTTTGATCATAGATGGAAGAAAGTACATTTCCCAACTGGCACAAGGGTATTTTCCTATTAGTCACAACAAGCTAAAGGAGCAAGAGTCATTTAACATCATAATGTGGCAATTATTTGATATTCCCATCTCCTTTCCCCTTTTATAACTGGTTCACACACAGTTATCTCCACCTGAGCGGCTTTCAGGGAAGTGAAAAAGGGTGTTAACCCGAGACATCTAATTGAAAACGAAGATCAAGATCAACACAGAAAGCATTAATCTAGTGCAGTGAAAATTGTATGTTTGCCCATGCATTCCCTGTGTTCGGGCTTAAAATATTATTTAGATTCTTGATTAGAAAATTAAGTCGCAATCATTTCTTGCTGCATTAATTTGCATGCATTGAGTGAGGAGGTACCTGAGGACTTAACGCATTTGCAACGCCTTAGTATTAGGCCAGAGGGCGCTTTAATTTTAAAGGGAAAACAGCGTGCCTGTCAGTTGATGTCTTCTCTCGGAGCTCAATAAGCATTCCTTTCATGCTGTGTGAAGCTCTGCTGACTTATATGGAAACCCGGAATTTCTCCATAATTATGCTAATGGTCCAGATGGTAGCATCACGAGTGCCATTCTCTTTGATATTCTCACACTGCAGAGGGCTGGTGTGCAGACCCACGCAAACCAACACACGCTCAAAGTCAGTGTTCACACCACCTACTTGAGCCCATGTAAATTAATTCGCGGATCCTTTAGCTGAAAAAAGCCCACTCGTCACTATTAAATGCATGTGCTTGTATTTGTTTTGGGGATTTGGCAATTCTTGTAAAGTACAATAGAGTCGCACTTCAACAAAAGGCGGGTGTAGGTGTCAGTATCCTTTATTTATCTACACATTTGCTCATGATTTACTACGATTTTTATAGTCTAATAAAAAGAACAATAAACGGCGATGTGAGTGCACTTCAAGAACATTTCAGTGACATTTGTGAAGGTTGAAAAAAAAGCATGCCAAGGTCATACACTGTAAGGCCATGCATAAATATTCTAGCGAATTTTATTTTAGAGACCCTTTAACAACACACTCGCGCACAAACATACACATACGCGCGCACAGGCCAGTCATTCACTCGCTCGAGCCACACAATAACTGTGTTCATCCAGGCTTGGACTCTGGTGGCGCCCATCAAAGAGCTCCTTTCACATCTCCGTGGGGATTAAATGGGACCTCCACCCTTTCTGGGCGGCTGTGCGCCGTTCTACCTATACCTCCAGCTGATGCACTGGCCCATGAAGAACTGCCCATTTGGGGCGGATGCTGATAAGGTGCATGTAGTGTTAAATCAATAGCACAGGCCTATACGCAAGAGCTGCAGATATCCATCTTCTCGGTGCAATGCATAGCATAGGATAGAGGCTGTTTTGAACCCGTTAATCAGATAGAAACGCGATATGCTCAGCAGATATTGGATGTCTTTCCCCGTGAAATTTAACCAGCGGTGGAGTCTTTGTGTGTATGACGCACACACCTTCACTTCGGAGGATGGCTCGCACTTGAGAACAGTCTGTTGCTGGAAGGCTTTCAAGTCTAAAGTGGAGTTATTTGCATAGGTTAAATATTCGTGCCTTTCAGCAGCTTCTGTCGATATTACGGATTTGCTGTTCTGCCAATTTTAATTCCTTTCATTCCACTCCTCCCACATTTCTGGAATGATGGTGAAAATTGTCGGAAGGTTGATGCTTGAAATCCCGTAAAAGAGCTTCTGAAAGGGGAGTCACGAATGACAAAACACAAAGTGGGCCCACATATCCCACTGGGGTGCAAAGGAGAAGGGGGGGGGGGGGAATCAGTGCAAAGCTATCCTGCTGACATCACATCGCTTGTGCACGGTGCATGGCCATTTAGAGCGGTGTATAAGCTTTACAGTGTTTTCTTTATCTGCCGAATTCAGCAAAAATACCTGAAGTGCTAAATCACTGCTGGTTGTTTGAACCCTGAGTGAGATTGCTGCTTATTTCTTTGACTAGACTGTCTCTGGCCGTGGTGCTGAAGAGAGATCAAGCGGAAACGTACTAATCGAGTGTTAAATAGAGTTAACATTTGCCCTTTATCACATGCCACTTCGGTTACAAGATAATTTAATTTGATCAGTGGCATAACTTTGTTTGATAATTATATAGTACAGAGCCTCCTGTCTCAGATTTACTTTGCCTTTATGGGTGCATTCAAACCTGGTAGCGATTTGAACTGGTTGCAAAAGTTAGCTACCATTACCGTGTGTACTTTAACGATTGCACATTTATAGACACACCTATGAATGCCTGCGAACTTGGTGGGCAAGTTATGAGAGGAAACTGGGAAACAGCTGCCTAGAAACGTGGTACGAAGAGAGAATTAAAGTTTTACACTGCTAGCTTTCAATTATTTTTCTCCCTTATTCCGCCATTCCATCCCTCGCTCTATTTCCCTCCTCCCTGCTCGGCATGTCTCTCCGTCTTTCTATCTGTAGTCTATCTCCATCTCCCCTTTCTCCCCTTCTCTCTCAGTCGCGCTCACTCTCTCTCGCTCTCTGTTGCGCGTTCACAATACTAACCTTGGCTCGACGTCAGAGCCTGTGCAGCAGTGCAGTATAATGGGAGCGCAAGGAACCCAGAGCGCCTCATAGGGGGTGCATATCGCTGCTGTATCCTCTGCTTGGCGCTGTCTAGCTCCTTTCCAACCCACTCCAGTTCCTCACCTATAGTCCATGCTTGGGCTCCCTCCTCCCCACTGGATCCGTACCCTTCGACATGGATGTCCCGCCGTCCCGCGACCCCGAGGATTGCTGTTTCTTGGCGCAGTGAAGAAGGAAGAGGAGAACGGGAAGGGGAAGGAATCATGCCGGGACTGCTAATGGATTTAGGGAAAGCGCAAGTGACCATGCCGTGATCTTGCGCATCCAGGGCCGCCGTTACCCTGCCTTGCCCAACAACCGTAGAAGAATTACGAGGGAATCGAACCCGCGCACCGAGGGGAATAACCACTGTGCATTTTTTTTAAACAACATGAAGATTACCTCCCATCATCTGATGATAACCAGTCTTGCTTTCAGGTCCAACCTCAGGCTGATCCCGCTTCTGCTGCTGTTTCTTGGTTACTCTCGCGGGATGCCACACGTTTTAAGATTTGGTAAGTAATCTGTTTATAACAATGTATCATCGACGTTACGATGTCTAATCACAACAACTACTCATAAGATTGGCCACAGCGGCACGACACATTGGCGGGATGCAGGCTGTGGAGATATTTTTTGTCCCACTTTTGTCACGTTTTCCGTTAAGAGTTTGCAAATAATATCGTCTGCACTTTTAAAATCGCGTTTAGCCCGGCGAATATTTTATAGTGTGCCTTTATAATGTCACTGTATTTCGTAACAGTGTCTTCGTGGGGTTTTACTTAGTGCTTCATACGATCAGCGACGAATGACGCTTTCCAGAGAACTTGAAATCACCGTTACAGTAACTCTAGACGCTTAAAGGCAGGAGTAGTCTATGCAACAGTTCACGGCTATGAAGCTCACCACCAGAGCCGCCGCTTAAATCTCCTCACCCTGCATCCTGAATCATCCCGTAGGTCTTTTAAACTGCTGACTCTCCAGCACATCCTCTGCAGTGAATGTTTACATGTAACCATTAGCTTGCTTTCCGAGAGTGGATCAATTATTGATCGGTGAAAAGGGGGGATCAATGCGCCGGGCAACGGGCTACTTTATATCCGAAATCAGAGCGAAGAGCTTCCCATCAGGGAATTCCCACGGTTTTGCTTAATTCACACGGTTATTGCCGTTTAAACAGATACTTGCTTGTTTCCAGTGCTCACTGGATGTGCCCTTACCCAACACCGTATCTCAGATTAGCTGTGTAATTCGGTAGTCTAAAAGTTGAGGCACTCCTTTAAAAAAAAATCTCCCGGTGAGTTAATTAGACACTTTAAAAGGATTAAAGAAGTAATTCTTCAACACTTGCCACTACGGCGAATTTTCCCCGGTACATAACTTCAAAACAGTGCCATTAACGCCCGTGTTCCTGTCTGAAAGTCACTAAATCGCAGCCTCCCGTGGCTTCCTCTGATGCTTAATTAGATCCGTCTCAGGGTGGCTCTTTCTGCCGCTCTCTGTTGCATTTACAGAGAACATCTTGGAGTGACAGGGGAGCCGCCACGACAGCGGATGTCATCAAGTGTTGACAACACATCCTTACAATCCCCAGTTCTCCTGAGGGTCCTGTTTAAGAGTCCAGGCCGCGTCCGCAAGAGCCGCCGCTATGGCAACGGGATGTGCTTGTCTTCCTGCTTCTTCCTCAGCAAGACGCGCAATTTCCCGTCTCGCGTGTTCCCTGACAGACGCCGGGTGTCTATTCAGTAATCCTCGGAGGACGATAAAGTCCTTGCACTGGCTAATAGCAAAGTTTTCAAATAATATCGAACATTCCCAAGAGACAAAATCCAGATATCATTCTGACCATGGTTACCGCTTTATGCATATTTATAGTTCGTGTGTGCGTGTTTTATCAGTGCAAAGGTTAGACGTGTACCTCCCCATACCAAAGATGTCGCCTGTGCTGACAAGCTGGATCTGTAAGGCATCTGGTATCAGCAAGACAGACATAACCATGTAAGATAAGAGGTGTTTCGTGTCACTGAGATCTTTTGCCCTGGGTGAATCCATGCTTGATATTTTCTCCTTCTTCTGGTGGAAGTGACAGTCAGAGCGCCTGGCACGCGTCTACGAGCCGGGGCTCTGTCCGTGGTCCTGATCAAGCGCTTGTTTAGTCGCACGGACTTGGCAGCACGGCCGCCTGTTGCTGAACAACTCTTCCTTTTCACAACACACCGATACACCTTCTATAAACAACTTAGTCTTTGTTTTTTTTGTTTGTTTTTTTATGCACTATAATATCTGTCATTCAAGCGCCACGCACGCTCTATTGTAAAATGGCTCCATATTCTGCACTGTAATTCATTCTCCTTAGAAAAATAAGTTTATGTGTCTGTATTTGCTTATGAAAGAGCCGAGTTTCCAAAAGAGAAATGTAGTTTAAAAATAGAGATTTATGTATCAGCTTATATAAAAAATAACACAACATGTCAGTCATGCATGCACACGGGAGAATTACAAATCCCTTTAAAGACATTAGAGTCCATCCAGTACATTTCTTGTCCTGGAGGATGTGCTTACTCAGCAGATAATCCCAGCTGCTCCTGCAGAAGGCTGGCTAAATGAGGAGGTCAGCTCCCCTGGGCCCGTCTGTTCCTTTCCTGCCCCAAGATCCCTTTTGCCCAGACAGGCGGCTCACATTGTAAAAACCACTGTTCTCCTGTCAGGCTGAGACCTCTACACAAAGACACACTGTAACACTACGGCATAGTCAACCTTTTGCATTCATAGCTCCAGTCTCACCATGTAGAGCGACAAGTGTCGGAGGAGAAAGAAAAAAAAAAAAAAACAGTGTTCAGGCCACCAGCTGCAGGCAAATATGCTGAGCCCATTCCCATACTGAGGTGAGTTATTATGTTCAGTGTTCCTCATTTATAAATCTTACAGGTAATTTATTTAGTTAGATGCAGAAAATAGAGCCAGCCCATACAAGTTGTAATAAAAAACCTCTTGAGAAAAGATTCTCTCTTCATTACTACTTCACATTTGCCTTCTGGGAGCACTGAATTACACTTTTTTTTAGCTACTGATGTTGCTAAGGGTCTTTGGGATAGAGAACAAAATGTTTCTGTCTTTTAATTTTCTTTTTCCACCCTTACAATGAAGGCTGCACACATAAATATGCAAAATGCCCGTTTTGAATATAATCTGAAACACAACTGCTTAAAATACATAAAATTCCAATTGTGTAGAAACATCTGAACCAGCTTCCTGAAATAATTAAATAGCTTAGTGTCAGACGCTTCTAAAGCTCAGTTTTTCTCACTCACAGATGGCCTGTTAAAATTCAGTGGAGTGGAAATTCAATGTTTTCTTTCAAATCTGTCCCATAACCTGAAGGATCTCATTTTATTTTTTTTATTTTTTCCATGCAAATAACATTTTGTGCATGATCCTATTTAGCTGCCCCCAAATGTTCTGTCACACAAGCAGTGAGTCATCACATCTGCTATTCCAACCCAGATGACTTTGACTTACAGACCCGCATGTTATTCTAAAAATAAAGAAATTCAGTTGGAGAAATATCAACAGTGAAACTGAGACCGCCTTTTAATGCTGATGTCCGTAGTCGGTCTGTGACTGTGAGGTTGAGTGATAACCTTATCACTGCCATTTGGAAGCAGCGCTGGCAGATGCAGTGTGTCCCTGGGCTGTCAACTCCTGCTGAAAGCATTGTTGACTCAGAGATACTCATTTCATTTGTTTATTTCCTGCCTATACTTATATTTCCCCAGTACAGACGTGTGGGAATATTTATGACTAAAACACAACATTCTTTTTCATTTTGGAAAGGAAATCAAGCTTTTTTTTTCCAGTCCACTGGCAAAAGACACAGTCCCCTCGGGTAGAAGAGAAGTTTATCTAACTCCTTCCACAATGCTGTGCCAAAATACAGTCTCTCTTTTGGGTGTCTAATATTTAAACCACTTTATCCCCTCGTGGTGGTAAAATTAGAAGGTCGTTGAAAACGAGCAAGGATAGAGGGAACACATTCAATGGGAGTTTGTGGTTAATTGACTTTATTTGCTTTTGCTTTCTGCCAGCCTGAATTATCAGCATGCTGGAGTTTAGTTTAGGATTGCAGGAATTATGGCTAACACCCTGTGCCCTGGCCCACTGCCAGCATGTTCACAGCAAACGTATTTAAAATGGGCACAAAGCTGCTTAAAATATTCACGTGTCACTTGACCCCATCAAAGCTTATAGAAATATGAAACTATCTCCGCTCGCAAATGATTTCCATGGTATAAAAATACCCACCGTGGGTTTCAAGAACAAAGAGGAGATCTGTCTTACATTAGCATGCAGCACCACACATGGGCTTGAAGCAGAGAACTATCTAGATGGATTTCTAAAACATGTTTACAGTCCAGAGTCTTTGAAGGTCTTGCTGTCATGCCTCAGTTACAAAAGGCTCAATGGTGATTAATTCAGGGTACATATTTCTTGCCATTTTGAAATGGCAAATATCTTTGAGGTATGAAATTAGTTTTTTTTTCTTCTTAGCATTAAGTCCTTTTCTTTTTTTCTTTTCTTTTTTTTTTTTTGAGGTTTACCAGCAACTTTTGAAAAGATTATTTACATTGAAGGAGGCTTTAGCTGATTGACCTTGTTTGCAATGTAATCCTTTCTTGCATAACAGCCTCTTTTAACACAGTCTGCTTTTATTTATTTTTTTGTTGAAAATCAAACAGAATAAATCTGAGACCTGTGCTCCTTCACTTCCCAGCGCAGGGCTTGCCTTATGTATCGGCTTTCATTATTCACAGTCTGTCACTCTTTGTCGTTGTCACTCAGGGATTTTGCTGGGTATCAGAAGGGTTAGAGGTTATATGTGCAATTGCTCTGTGAAACTGTCCCTTGAGAAGAGCCTACAGCACGTCTTGCTGCGTTGCTGCTGTGGCTCGGAGCCGACTGAAGGTCGGAGCTGAAAGCACTCACAGGGAATAATTTTTTTCTTTTCCTTTTTTCTTTTGCATCTTTTAATACATGTGGGACTGTCCTTCTCGCTATCTCACCAAGGGAGCTGGAAGTAAATTTGAAGTCACTGAGAGGTGTAAGAAAAACAAGAGTGTTTGTTAGAGAGGAAAAGAGAGAGAAAGAGAGAGTCTGTGTAAAGTGTGAGTGAGATGAAAAAACAGTGAGTGTTGAGGCGTATACAGAGTAAAGATAGATTAGTTTGCCTCAGAGCGGTCCACTCTCAGCCCACTCTCAGTTGTGGTCTTTTATTACGGTTTTTTGATGGCTTCTATGAAGAGAGACGGAAAGGACAGTAGAGTATGTGGAAATGCAGTGGGAGGCCAGGAGTCATGCACTGCATCTCTGAATAAATGTCAGCAGTATCATATTAGCAAGTTGAAAATTTGCCTGCGACTGCAGATATGCATGAAATAGCTTTTATAGGAGTGAAAAACTGAAAATAGGTTGGTAACACAAATGTCCTTGTAGTTCCTTAGAAGAGCTAAAACCCAAA